CTCAGGCCTCTCTCTCTCTCTCCCCTGCAGCGCTGTGACCTCTCCATGTTTGACCTCATTGGCCTGGAGGGCCGTGTGACGCGCTACCAGGCGGACGTCTTCCTGCCGCGGAGGAAGGTCTCCCGCCTGCTGGTCCAGGAGGTGATGGACTCTCCCGACCCGCCACCGCGGCCCAAACCCGTTCGCATGAAGGTCAACAGGTGCGCAGCTCCCGTTACCATGACGCCTTTGTGACACAGGAGGCCGGATGAGGCTGCATGGTGGTGCGCTTGCCGGTCTCGAAAAATTGAGGTTCGCTGCCAAGGAGCGGCGCTGTGTCTGGCGAGGTGTCAGTGACTTCCTGGGTAGTCCCTGGGCCTTCCCATCAGCAGAGCTCGTGTTCCCTAGCGAAAACCTGCGGTGTTGTGTGAATAACATCCAGACCTGGGTGTCGGGATGGGGGGGGGGGTGGGGGTCGAACCCAAGTCAGAAACTTCATGGTCTCTTCGTATGGGGTGCCCGGTGATAGTGAAGGGATTCAGAAGACTTCAAGAAACCCTGGGGAACAGGGGTTCAGAGCTGCGATCCCAGAAGGGGTCTGAAAGACCAGGGCCGTGGCAGCGTCGGTCTTCTGGTCCACAGTGCACTCTGGTAGCCGTCGCCTGATTAAACGCTCAATGCGTCTCTTAACCTCCCCCCTTCTCTCTCTCTCTCTCCGGCAGGATGTTCCAGCCGCTGCCGAAAGCGGACGGGCGCACTGTAGTGCTGGTGAACAGTCCCCGCCCCCCCGGCCCGGCCCCCTCTCCTGCCCCCTCGCCCTCCCCCCTGCTGCGCCCCCCGGTGGCCCCGGAGAGCGCTCCCGTTGCCGCCGCCCCCCTTCCGCAGCAGCAGCACCCCGCCCCTCCAGGTGAGCAGCCCCGGAGGCCGGGGGGCCGAGGCAGCGGGGCGGAGCGGTGGGCTGCCCGGCCCGCTCCTGTCCGGTGTGGGGCGTCAGGGTCTCCGTGTTGCAAACCCCCCCCCCCCACACCCAATCGGGGAGCACGAGTCCTAGGCTGACCCGGGGCAGTTGTTCATTGTAACGGGCTGGGTGAAATGAGTGCAGCCAGCACAGGTTATCTATAAGATCAGAAGCTCGTCCTTGAGCGGGCTGTGATGTGTAACGAATTCATGTCATTTCTTGAGATATGGGCTCAAGGGACCGGGGGCGTGTTGTCAGCTGTGTGGCGTTGAGTCGTCTGTGCTAATGGGCCTCTTGTCCCTTTCTCTCCCAGTGACGGTGTGTTCGGTGCCGCCGGCTGCTCTGGCCCGGCCTCCGCTGGTCCCAGCTGGCCCCAGTGCTGTCTGCGTTGGCGGAACCGGGGTGAGGCCCGGCACCCCTTTGCCTGTACTGGCTGTGCGGCCTCCGGGATCCCCTGGCACCCTGCTCCGGACCCCGACGGCACCCGCAGCCTCTGCGCCCCCTCTGTCAGGCTACGCAACACCCACTGGTGGGACCGTCACCCAGCGAGTGCTCCTCACCCCGGACATGCAGGCCAGACTGCCCTGTGAGTGCACACTGTCTCTGACTGTGGATCTCTCTCTCTCTTTGTTGGTGTCTGTTAAAATTCTTTATTCACATGCTGGAGTTTATATCTCTCATATTAACCCCCCTCTCTCAGTGCAGTGTTAATGTACTAGAGTGTCCAGTCAGTCAGTGTGTCTGTAT